GACAATATACGTAAGCATAGCGTTCACTAGATTTCACACAAAGGAGAGCAAGCTCGGCCACAAAGAGAAGCACAGACCGCATAAAGTGAGCTCTACGGAACCCAGAGAAGAGGGAGGGGCCTAGGGGAACGCTGCTTAGATCTCCTCGTCGCCATCCTCCTTGTTGAAGGTGGTCACGTCGACCTTCTCGGGGAAGATGATATTCACCGCCAGCTCCTCGCCACTGTTGTACTGCAGCAGTAGGTTCTTCTTCTTGCGCAGCATGTGCTTGTAACGCAGGTTGGACACCCAGGCCTCGCACTTGTTGATGAAGACGATGGCCACGGTGCCCAGAACCACCAGGCTGGTGAGCACACCCAGGATGGTGAAGCAGATGGCCTGTCCCTCGGTGAGGAGAGGGGTACTCTTGTTGAGCTCTTTCATGGACACCTTCAGGATGCGGTGCTCGGGCTGCTGGACTGGCAGCGTGTGCACCCCGGGGGTCAGGCGGTAGGTGAGCCCGTAGTTGCTGGGCAGATGGGTGACCTGCACGGGGTTGGACGCCCGCCTCTTCGCACACGTGGGACCCATGAACGGGGACTTGCACAGACACTCGTAGCTCACCTGGGTGTGCTGCAGGCAGGTGCCCCCGTTCAGGCACGGGCCACTGGCACAGCTGCTCACCGGGCGGCTGCAGGTCTTGTCGACGAATCCAGCTGGGCAGCGGCAACGAAAGTCGCCCCCGATGTCGGTGCAGACGCCGTCGTTCTCGCATGGGTTAGGGGTGCAGCTGTTGTCAATGATCTCGCAGAAGTTGCCAGAGAAGCCAGGGGGGCACAGGCAGGAAGCATGGGAGGCCCGGCCCTCATCATCCACACAGGCACCCCCGTGCTGGCAGGGAGAACTGCAACACAATAGACATGGTAAAGGGCCCTCGGGGGCTGGGCTACGACAGAGCAGTAGGGGCAGGGGGCAGAGGTGAGGCTCCTTTCTCTGTATCTTCCTTTGGACCTGACAAAAGGGCAGGGCTCAGAACACATCAGGCTAAGGAGGGTAAAATGCCTGCCAGGGAGGCAGGCACCTGGGACTAGAACCCCTGACTTGGAAGCTCAGCAGCTGTTCAGGGTGGGGTGCACGCACCCCTCACCCCTGCCACGATGTCAACCTTATCAACCTGGAACTGAATCAACCTCCCACGCCCTCCCCCATCTCTTATCTCATCTCTCAGGCCAGAGCATACATTGTTGTTCACTAGACAGATGGGGAAACTGAGGCTAGGGGAGGGAGCATTAGTAACAGCCCAAGGTAAGATCCCTCAGATGAGGAGGGCAAGGAGGAGCATGGTTCCTGAGCTGTCCAATAGCTGTCTGCTATTAGTCAGGGCTCCAGTGTGTGCCCTGTACCCTACCCCATACCTCATCTTTATTTCTAGTGGAATGGGCCCAGCCAGCTATTCTGAAGGAAACCCCCGGGGGCTCTCAGTGAAAGAAATATGGGTACTATCTATGCTGCAAGAGTGGTATCTTGGTGAACTGTTTAATGGTGGTCCATTCACCCAAGAGCAGCTTGCAAACTGAAGCTGTGTGCTCAGAGTGGAGCACACAGAGTATTTAATGTGAGTGCTTTTAAACGAGCTAGCCCTTTGTCATCTGATAAATGCCAAAACTCCGGGAAAGAAAAGCAACCCACCCCCACACACAACCA